GCAGGTGCCTGGCCTTGTTGGATCAAAACCCTTCAGAAGAATTATAGCGAACTAGAAATGATAGCGCAGGTGTCTGGCCTTGGTATATCTTAGTCCTTCTAGAGATCAACACCACCCATGTTGCCCTAAGCTTCCTCCACTGGCACCTCCCCACTCTGATTCAAATAACAATTAACACTTTGTGTTTATTTCTATACCAGTTTTTTAGGCTCAATAGACTAATTATATACAGGTCCTGAGATTCAGGTGACTAACAGAAAAAGGCTGTTAACTGACTAACCATGTCTGGATATTATTAATCACATAAAACAGTACATGTATTCTCTGCCTTTTCCTTAAATCTCTCATTGGTTTAATTTCTTTCCTCGTAACCTTTGTAGCGATCCCTTTAAGAGATAGCCAGGACTTTTTACAACCTACAGCTGTTGTCAATCTCCAATTAAGCTGACCAAGTCTTTGCCAAGCGTGACTCTTATCAGAATATTTGTCCCTGAGAGTGTACTTTGTAGTTTTTATTAGCAGGTTGTTAATGAATGGATATGGATATACATATACATATATATATTCATATATACAAATACATATATATATATATATATTCATATATACAAATACATATACATATATATGTGAGAGGGGAACAAAGAGGAGAAGAAAGATGGAAAGAACTAGATAGACATGAGAGGACAGCAGGAGGGACTGAGAGGAGCTAAGTATGAGAACAGAAAAGAAGCTGTGTAAATAGAACTGACCGAGAAGAATAAAGGGAATGGACTAAAGAACTCAGTGTGCTTAGATTCATTGAATACCCCTCAGATTAGATTCCCAGCTGGTTGTTAGATTCTTCCATGGACTCTGGGAGAAAGCAATAGGGGCAGGACCTCTATTTTTTTCCAATAGGCTAAAGCAGGACTCTCCTAAAGTCAGTTTTTAAAATGCAGCTAAACAATAAAACTGCTTTGTGCAGACCCCCTTGGCTGCCCATCAGGAAGCCAGCAGGAGTTCTCTCAGTCAGGTGAAGAAGTGTGGTTCTTAATGTGCTGCATCCCACCTGAGGCCCACTCCATGGGTTGCAATTTGATTGTGAAATATGATCGGTTCTGACCTAGCCTAGCCACTGGTACACTTTTCCGCCCCTTGCTGTGAGCTGAGTGTTTGAAATCTCTCTGTCGTGGCTCTAAGCGGGCAGCAACAGATTCCTAAGGCCCTCTGATTTGCTTAGTCATGAATCTTACATGTTACAACTGTATGAATGTATCATTCAGACGTGATGATGCTCCTATTGGACCATCCATCTACTGACTTCTGGACAGAAAATAATTAACACAGGGTGGACAGGAATAACATACTGAAAAACAAAAAAAACCAAAGAGATAGCCCCTAACACAAAACAGGCTAGGCTTGTAGATTCATGACTTTGAGTAAATTTCTTTCAGAATTATGTTAGTACTAAATATTGAGGGACACAGAGTAAGGAAGGATGTAAAACTTTTGTCTTTCATTAGTCCTTACTGCCTGTTTTGCTGGCTTCTTAGAATGTAGAAGAAGTATTTGTGGTCCATGAGCAGACACCAACTACCTTTCTTACTGGCCATCTGGGCCACTAGTAACACGATGCTTGTGGCATACATAAGTAAGGGGAATCTAGTTTTCTTTTATTTTATTATTATTTATTTTTTCCTTTTATTTTATTTTACAATACCATTCAGCCACGGATTCCCTTGTTCTCCCCCCTCCTGGCCCCCCCCATTCCCACCTCCTCCAGGGCAAAGCCTCCCCTGAGGACTGAGATCAACCGGGTAGACTCAGTCCAGGCAGGTCCAGTCCCCTCCTCCCAGACTGAGCCAAGCGTCCCTGCATAAGTCCCAGGTTTCAAACAGCCAACTCATGCAATGAGCACAGGACCCAGTACCACTGCCTAGATGCCTCCCAAACAGATCAAGCCAATCGACTGTCTCACCTATTCAGAGGGCCTGATCCAGTTGGAGGCCCCTCAGCCTTTGGTTCATAGTTCATGTGTTTCCATTCATTTGGCTATTTGACCCTGTGCTTTATAGGAATCTAGCTTTCTAATCCCAGCATTCCAGTCTGAAGGTATGGCTCCCACTGGCAGTGTCACAGGTACCACCAGTGTGGGGCGCTCTTGTGCAGCACACTCTGTGGTTACACAAGGTCTCCATGGTCTGGCCGCAGTGCACTGGGCATGGCCTTCTCCATGAAGGTCAGGCCTCCACTTGCCAGGCTTCAGCCACCTCGGGATGCTTCTGCTCATTACCACCTGGCAGTCTGAAGGCCGAGGCGGCTACCAAGCAGGGAAGTATCATTCAAACTCATTCTGCGCAAAGTGGTTTTGCTAGTGTTATTTTCTTCGGAGAGACATCTCCCTTGGGTGTGGAGAAAAATCAATCAAGGAAAGCTCTGAAGGACAGTGTGTAGAGCTGGTTATTTAGTCATAGAAATCTTGAACATTCCAAAGAGATTTAGTTATATGATGTTTATGCCATCTATGGTAACACGAGGTACCAATTAAGTTGCTGGATAGGTAAGCTAAGGGAAACTTTGGATAGTTAACAACCAAAATTTCACAGGCATTATAAGAAGCGGCCAGTTCCAAACATCATCAATGTGATTAAATCAGACGCCGTGACACCTGCTTCAGAACATTTGGAAAGCCTTCAGAATCATGCCAGAGAGCTAACGGTGTGTGCCTGAAAGCACGGATGAGTTTAGTTTGGAGACAGCAGGATCCAGAAGGTTCTGAGAATCAATTATTCTCGCCTGGCTGCAGGAGACTGCACCAGGCAGTGCTTTCGGATGGTCCTGGCAGCCATCGTGTGGAGCTAGCCTGTGCCAGCTTCACACTGGGCACTCTACGGGAGAGTGTGCATGTATAGGGCTAGCCTCTGCCAGCTTCACACTGGGCACTCTCTGGGAGAGTGTGCATGTATAGGGCTAGCCTCTGCCAGCTTCACACTGGGCACTCTCTGGGAGAGTGTGCATGTATAGGGCTAGCCTCTGCCAGCTTCACACTGGGTACTCTACAGAAGAGTGTGCATGTATAGGGCTAGCCTCTGCCAGCTTCACATCAGGCACTCTCCAGAAGAGTGTGCATCTGACTAGTTAAGAGACCTTGGAAGGAGCTGTTACTAACTACAGGCCATACAGAAGGAACAGCAATTAGAGACAGGGCAGGGGCAAGTTCTCATGACCTGGACACAGAGTCCTTGGTTGTGATAGGAGAGCATGGACTGTGTTTTGGGGGCCATTCAGGCTCTTCATGAAGCAAGCCATTGCTATTAGGGAGGGACAAGGCCCTACAGTCTATCTTGGCTCCACCCGGGGCTTTTCACCCACAGCACCGCCAGCAGCAGCACAACACCACAGGGAGGAGTAGCCAGATGTAGCTGCTTGTCTGAGGATTAAGTAAATCTGGTTCCCTGTTTGTGTTTTTGACAGCAACATTTCAAGTGCGGTCATCCTTGCTGTCCCTGGTGGGCTGGGGCAGGAACTCTTCAGGTTGCGAACATCTGAAGATACCCAAGTCTCTCACAGCCAAAGGTGCTGTGATTTGCACCTAACCTCTGAATGCTTTAAACCAGCATTCAGGCTGTGCACAGAGTTGCTACACAGCATTGTTTGGGGGATAATGACAAGGCAGAAAGCTCTGGACACACACAATGCACACTCCCCCCCGAATATTTCCAGTTCACGCTCAATTGATCTGTGGGTCTGGAACCCACAGATAAGTAAATTCCCAGCTGTTTTTCCTAGGATGTAATGCTCCCCCAGTTTGGTCCTTAAAGACTCTTAGTTCCCAGCTTGGTACTACTAGGGGAAGACGTAGGTGGAAGCTTTAGAAGGGATCACAACATGTGAGCTCATAGGTCATTAACGGATGTTGGGACCCAAGCCATTCTCTTCTTTCCTTTTCTGTTTCTCTAGCATGAGGTGATGAAAGTCTTTCACCGTACCCTTGTAATGACATACTGTGTGGTCATAGACCCTAAGCAACACGGGCAATCAGTCATAGACTAAAACTCCTAATGTAGTAAAATGAACCTGTTTACTTTATGGTTGATTGTCTCAGGTCTTTTGTTGTGATATTGTAAAGCCAAGACAAATAGATCACCAGAAACAAAGATTAACTTAAAAATTTAGAGAAATACATGTTCTTCAGCCTTGCTGGGTCTTCTCTGTGTGTCAGCACCTCTTTAGCTCATCTCACATCTATTCACTAAGTTATCTTTTAGGATGACCCACACACCCTTCATAGATGAGCATCCTCACGTGCTGTAGAGACCATCACACAAAGACTGTTGCCATGATGACCCTTCTGAGCATTTCCTCTAGCTTTCTTTCATTTCCCTTACTGAAAAGGATTTGCCTTCTACCTTGGAAGTGTGTTTCCTACTACCAGATCTTCAATCATGACCATTTATCATTCTCAAGTCCTGTTGATCTGGAACCATCTCAGTAGAACAGCCCCACCTATTGCCAATTTCACTAACACTTCACCTGTGCCTCTCACTGGAGTTCTGTGCATCGTGCCTACCTAGATACATGCAGGCCACCTCACAGCTGCCCCCTAAACTTAGCTACTGGATTAACTGTGACTCCCCAGCAGAGACTCCCACAGTTCTGTGGACAGACAGGAGTCAAAACATACTTATTAAAGGTCATTCTTCTTCCCCATCTCTCTCCATATCCACTTACAGGATATAGAATATATTCTTGCAAATGTCAGACTAATTCCTAAAGCATTTAGACTGAATTCAATAGTGAGCCAGTGGGCACATTTCTTTAATGATCTCAACATGAAGTTCCAAATAAGTGCCTACAGCACCAAAACTTCTGTTGGGAAAATAAGGGCACATGCGTCAATGGTTCAGAACATAATATATCACATGTAAAATACTTTCATGAGGGTGGGGGTGATAAGCTTGAAGTGATTCAGACTAGCAAGCAACAAGAGACAGGCACAAGAGCCGAAATAAACTTACCCTGGGTTGCGATATAATGATTGGGTCGATGGTAGCCCTAAAAAAAAAAGTGAGAAAGAATATTTGATGAATTTAAAGTCGATGGGTTGGACAGAAGTCACACACTGAGTCTGTGGAAACGACCATGCATTCAAACACCAACCCCGGAAGCACTCGATAGTTTAGTTGCCGGACACAGGATCACTCAGTTTGTCTCATCAAGTGAAGGGGCATCAAGTACGGCCCTCTGGATGGTGTGCAGGAAGTGCAAGGAGCCTCATTACACACTGGCTATGAGATGATGGATGAGCAGCCAAAGCTATCAACTTATGGATTCTCTGAACTAAAATGACCAAGACCCTTATGAAGGTGCGAATGCCTGGGAATATGCGATAGAGCCTTGTCTGCATTTGGGATATCATTGGCCAGGTGCCAAGCACTTAACACATATTCTGTTCTATCAGTGTAGACAGTTCCGTCAATAGCAATGCTCAGAACCATTCTCAAACACTGCTCGTACCATGACACAATGCTACAGCAAGAGCTGGGGTTTAAAGTAGAGACTGTACGAGACCCCTCCCTTTACTCATGACCCCAAAGGAAGCAGGACAGATTAAACTGGACCCAAAGAAACTGGGAGGCAAAGATATCACAGGAGAAGTTATCTGGGAAAGATAAAAGTCAGTTCAGAGAAAATTACTTCTAGTAACATACTGCATCACGGTGGACCTTAATACATTTCTGTCCCTGGAGATTACCCTAAATATTGTTCTCAAAGATAACTGGAAAACAGAAAAAAAAATTGGAGAGAAAATACAGATTCCTCAGACACCTTAAATGCCCATCGGTTAGATTATTTTTTGCTCTTGAGTCAGCAGCAATGAATAAGAAAGGCAGAAATTCTGCAACACAACTGACTTGCCTCACATCTCAAAAGACAGAATTGAGATCAACATTCATAGAATTCCTTAGAGAATTACTCATTTGTCAGCCATTGAATGCCACAAGGGAGAGAACTGACTTCCTCATTCTGCAAGTTTACTGCCTTAGGAGGCCAGGAGACTGGAGGAACACATGGGATGAACTGAGCTAGCCCACGCTGTCTCAGGCTAGCCCGCGTTACTAACCGCCTTAGTCATTGTTCAGTTCCCATCTGTATCACTGATCAGCTGAAGATCCCCTTAAAATCCCGTGCTGATTGGTTTGTCAACTTAATACAAACCCGGACATATCTGAGAAGTGGAATCTTAATTGAGAAAAAAAAAATGCCTCTAAAAGATCAGCCTTGTAGGCAAGTCTGTAGGGCATTTTCTTGATTAGTGATTGATGTGAGAGGGAATAGAATGAGACACTTTGGGAATGGGAGCTAAACAAAAGTCATTTGTGTTTCATGTCTCCCTTATCCACACAGCCTAAAGGCAATCTGTACAGTAATTTAATTCTGCGGCAAACCACGCTGGTGTGTTATGGCTGAAGGTGTAGGGAGGCCCTTCGTCACTGGTGACACTAAGCTGTGTGTTGTGCTTTGACTGCAGTTTGTCACATACGGTGGGTGTGGCATCTGCCAGTTGTGTGGCCTTGGGTCAGCCCTGAAAAAGTTTGGACTTTGGAGGATTTCTGGATTGGGGGATTAGGGGTGCTTAACATGCATGTGGCTACGATGGGTGCCTGGAAATGCTAATGGAATGAAAACCTGGCCTAGCACAGCCACATGCCTGGGAATGCTGAGGAAGTGAATCTGTTCTCCGAGGTGTGTGCCTGGCACGGCCTCATACAGTACCCTGGATTTCCTACCTCTGAATTCATTCATTCTTTCAACTGAAAACAAGCTGTCTTTTAAAGAATTTATCCTAATGTAAGACATTAAGTTAACATGACGCAGAATGAACAAGGCAGCCATCTTCAATAATTAAACAGCCTGCATATTTAATGACACGCCTTGCCTGCCTTGGAAGTCCTGGTGAACAGCTGTGGATGACTTTGAAGGCAACTTAAAAGTACAGCGACAAGAGGCTGCAAATCACCGCATTAGGAATTAGATGGTTTTGTCCCATTAATATGCAAACATTTTTTTTAAGTTGTTGACAAAAATGTAAAAAATATCTTTTTAGTCCGCCTAAGCATGCGTAAATGAAGGGGGTACAGAAAGAGACTAAGATGTTCATCCCCAAACAGGCTCACTTGAGACGGCAGTGACTGCACTCTGTGGAGTGTGGGGAACACTGACATTTGCTTGTGGATGGTCACTGACACATGGCTACTAACTGTGCAGCAGATCTGGGGTGTGACGTGTGTCAGAATGTCTGGATTTATTGATAATTTTAAAATACATACATCGATGTAATTGCCATTGATATAATCCGAATTGTTGTCACCTTCCAGCATCTGCAGCCGAACCCGTGAGTGATCATCTGCAAAAGGAAACAGAAGACAGCCATGAACAAAGGCGACCCCAAGGCTGCCCTCAGCCTCAGAGCTTCTGTACAGCACACAGACTCTCCCCACGCATGGGTCTGCTTTAAAGATGGCTGCAGTTTGGAATTTGACATCTTTTGCAGGCTTAGCCCCAAGCCTGTAGTGTTACTGGGAACTAGTGGCTCCAACTGGTGAGATGGGAATGCTAACATGAGAACGCTCCACCATGTACTTCCTATCAAGATGATTTGCCTCACCACAGGGTCAGAGCAATAAAGCACACTAATCATGGACTGGAACTCTGAAAATGTGAGCCCAGAGAAACCTTTCTTCTTTTTAAGTTTGTTTATCTCAAGTATTTTGTGACAGTAATAGAAAGCCCACTAACAAGATAATAAATATCACAAACCTTCTAAACTTCCCATTTTGCTATTAAGGTTGGGATCTATAGTTCTTTAGTTAAAAAAAAACAAACAAATCTTCCTAATTTTTTTTTGATAACTGAAACACACAGAATACTGTAAAAGCTAGAGACTCATACTCTTAACCAAGAGTTATTTCTTGGAAGTTTGAACAGCTTCACTAAATCACATACAAGGCCTCAGATGCTGAAGGCTGCCTATAACATCCACCTTAAAGATAATGGCTACCAATCCTCAGCCCAGCCTTCCGGGAAGTTTGAATGGAGTCTGTCCTAGATGAGGTTTTCACTGCTGTGATAAAGACCATGACCATAAGCAACTTGGGGAAGAAAGAGTTTATTCCAGCTTCTAACTCTCAAATTACACGACATCACTGAAAGAAATCAGGGTAGGAACTCAAGGCAGGATCCTGGAGGCAGGAGCTGCTGCAGAGGCCAAAGAGAGGTGCTCTTTACTAGCTTGCTCCTCGTGGCTTGTTGATCTTGTTTTCTTATAGAAACCCAGGACCAAGAGCCCAGAGTGGCACCACCCACAATGGGCTGGGCCCTCGCACACCAACTGTCAATCAAGACATTGCAACGCAGGGTTTCCCACAATGGCCTGGGCTCTCCCACATCAATAATCAACAAATAACATACCATAGGCTTGCCCACAGGCCAGTCTAGTGGGACATTTAGTTAATGAGGTTCTCTCTTTCCAGATGATGCTGGCTTGTAGTTAAGGTGATGTGAGAGTAGCCAGCACAGAGGCCTAGCTCTCTGTAGTTTTCTAGCTTTCTTCTGTGCCCGAGGGCATCACCAAGTAAGAGCAATGTTGTAACCACCAGCCTTAGCCTCTTCTGGAGAAGGGACTGGCAGAAACTGCCAGGAACTAGGCTGTTTCAAGACTGAAGAACAACAAACATCACCAAGCACTAATTCTGACAAACAGGAAGCAGCATATGGGCCTGGAATTGTTTAACAGGTATATTTACATTATTTCCTGAATGGATAAATTTCTGCACATGTACAATTCATTATCTGTTACTTCCCTGAAATATCTGTCTTTTAAGCCAGAAAACCCTGGCAGTCCCATGGCCCTCAACCCCCATCACTAATTCTGTACCTGAGGCACAAGATGTACCACCAAAATGTTTTCTTGAATGAACAAAATGCAAAAATTATTTTTGAAAAGTACATCCTTTACACCACCTCCTGAAGCGAAGGGTGTGGCTGAGTGAGTGCCAGAGAGCTTGTCTGGATTCAAACCTAGATACTGAAAAAAAAAAAAAAAAAAAAAAAAGGGGGCTTTGGCCAAGGAGTGAGTCTCTTTCTACATAAGCACTCTCTGAAAGCCAGGGTTGAGAATGGATCAGAGCCAGCTCCCTGAAAGGAAGCTCTGTGGTCACTGAGGAGTGAGGTGGCGAGACAAAGGATTTGTCAAATTCCATTGCCATTGTTTGGGAGAGTGAGACCCTTACCAAGCTGCCAACAGCTGCCTGGGAGGCTCACAGGACCCAGCATCCCATCTAGTTTGGTGAGTGAGAAAGAAGTATGCCATGTGAGGCAGGGGTCAAGAGAGCTGTGGGGGATGGGCCATCATGTCTCTTCATGTCTCTCATCATGGCCAAGGGCTGAGTAGAATCTGCTCCTCCACTTGGCAGACTAATGGGCAAAGTCAGGATTTCACCTCAGGCCCTGATATTCACCTCAGGTCCTGCAGGGTGAAAATTATCTTTGCTGTCACTGGTGGGCATAATGCCATCTGTTATCACTTTTCTAATTCCATCCTTGAGGAAGGCCCCTCTCCTCTGGTCACATTAGATAGTATTGCATGCCAGAGCCTCGCAGTGAGTCAGGCCTCAATGCTTATCTGGAATATGGTCACTAACCGGGCTAGACAAGCCACAGGAAGAATCCAGAACAGTGGTTCTCAACTTTCCTAAATGCTATGACCCTCATGTTGTGGTGACCCTAAACCATAAAATTATTTTCATTGCTACTTCATAACTGTAATTTTGCTATTCTTATGAATTTTAATGTAAGTATCTGTATTTTCTGATGGTCTTAGGCGACCTCTGAGAAAAGGGTCTCGACCCATAGCTTGAGAATGGCTGATCTAGAGGCAATTGCGTCTTGTTGCTCTGCTCTAAGAGAATCTGGGGTGGAGGTTATATATATGCGAGGCTACCCACAGCAAGTGTGTGACTGAAGGTCTCTCTTGGTGGGTGAGAGTCCTCCACTTGGGATTTGGGGCCAGGAACTTCCCCACTTTGTGCTACAGTTTCCTTCTCTGTCAATAAGGATGAGTGGAGTCCACACCACACAATCAATGGGAGCATTAAAATGACACATGTAAAGGGATTGGAAAGAAGCCAGTACACAGTAAGCAACAAATCTATGTGAGCTGTTATTATCGTGTGTTGTGCAATGACTACTGGCATGGTCCATTTTCTCACTCTTTACAGCTGTCTGCTGGACAAGGTGACAGTACCTTGGGGACGGAGCTACATGGAATCAGGTTTCCTCATGGCCACCTACTTTAAGGATCAGAACGAGTGTGTTTAGAACCAGTATTTCCCTATATATATCTTGCCTGTGTTAGCAGCTGAGGGGAGGTCGGCTGTGCGTGTGATGGATGTGTGTGGACTGTTACAGTCCGTGTTTGCCAGAAGAGCTCATGCACATGCATGGCCATTTATTTCAGAGACAGCCTAGACAGTTCTCCTGCTGAAGTCACCAGAGCTCCTGAGAAAAAGGTGCCCTAACAGAACCCAATTGAAGCTGTTCTGCATATTATCAGGCTCTTAGCTAGCTCCCCCAAAAGGGAGAGGACATGATCTTACCTTCTATAAGCTTAGGTAGATCTTCAATTTGCCTGTTCACTGATATCTCTCTCTCTCTCTATCTATCTATCTATCTATCTATCTATCTATCTATCTATCTATCTATCTATCTATCTATCATTTTCTTTCTATCTATCTATCATCTATCTATCTATCTATCTATCTATCTATCTATCTATCTATCTATCTATCATCTATCTATCTATCATCTTTCTTTCTATCTATCATCTATCTATCATCTATCTATCTATCATCTATCTATCTATCTATCTATCTATCTATCTATCTATCTATCTATCTATCTATCATCTTTCTTTCTATCTATCATCTATCTATCTATCTATCTATCTATCTATCTATCTATCTATCTATCTATCTATCTATCTATCTATATTGTAAACATGTCTTTTTCCCCTACAGATCAGACCTACTTAAGGATAGTAGCCATATATGTAATATAAAACATTACATATACTATATAAGCATATACACAGGAGATATCTATCATCTCTTTTCTCTACCCTGCTTACAATTACCTTATTATTTTATGAATAAGGGGGAAAGACCAGCTCACAAAGAAGTATCACTGTATCTCCACTGGAAAGTGTCACGGTGCCAAGTGTAGGTGAGGGTGTAGCACAATTGGAACTTTCCAGTGAATGTGAACATGATTGCAAACACAGAAAAAAGAATTTGTTATTATGTAAGGATGAAGACAACCATCCAATGTGCCAGTGGTAACAAGTGGATACTGTGTGCATCCCAATGGGGAAATAACAATGTACCTAGCAACATTGTTTACAATTAACAAAAGTATTACAACTTATCAAGCGGGATGCTATTTAGTAATGACAATGAATGAACTACAGTTACATACACAAACTATATAAACACAAGCCACACCAAATGAAAGCCACACACAGGAGACACTGGCAACGTTTTCTGTTGACCTTTCTGCATAGATGGAATGTTCTACACCACTGTTCTTCAGCACAGCAATCACCAGACATGCATAGTGACTGAGTACATGGACTGTGATTAGAGAGAGGAACTGTTTATTTTTTAATTAAAAAATTATGTGTATAGATATTTTGCCTGCGTGTATATCTGTCTGTGTACCATGTATGTACTTATGGAGGTCAGAAGAGGGAACTAGATCCCCTGGAATTGAAGTTGTGACCCATCTTGTGGGAATGAACCCAGGTCCTTTGGAAGAGCAGCCAGTGTTCTTAACTAATGAGCTATTTCTCCAGCCCCTGACTTTTAAAATATATTTAATTTCAACAACTTTAAATTTAAATAGCCATGTGTAGCCAAATAGCTACCACACTGTATGGTAGACAAGAAGAATAAAATGCCCAACTTACAATTTCATATCGGTTACATGCTAAAATGCTAATATTTATGCTATATTGGGCTAAAGAACATGTTATCTTGCACTTATGTTTTTGTATGTTTCTATGCAGTATACCCATTAGCAAAGTTAAAATGTTTTATATGTAGCTTATATAATACTACATATTCTATTTTTTTTCTGGGATGATTCTTCTGAGAGGTACTCAAAATATGGGAAAAAAAGAGAAAATGGTTACTGTAAGATCTTCATGGACTCTCTGTTGCTATCTCTGTCTCTCCTCTCTCTGTCTCTCTCTCTCTGTTATGCATCTAACTCAGGACTCATGCATGCTAGGGAAACACACTATCACAGAACCATATCCCCAACCCAGTAGTCACTATTTTAGTGGGTGGA